TATTATTATTATTTTAACGGTCGTTTGTTCGTTCTGTTTTTGTCACACGGTTGTAAGATTGATAAATGAATCGTTCGTTTACGCTTTCGTATTTCATTTTATTTTCACTCGATTCCCGTTCGCGTCTGTCTGTCCGTTTGTTGTTTGTTTTTTAAGTTTATTTAAATCATCCGCTTTTTACTTTCTAACAAACTTTTAAAAATGTCCACCGACAAACGATCAAAATCGAAAAGAAAAAGGTAAAAAAATAGAAAAAGGGGAAAATCGGTCAATTTTAAAAATTCGTTTTAATCGGTGCGAATCACTTCCGGTTTTGCGATTTTTACAAAAAGCTTCTACGCTTTTTTTTCTCGTTTATAATTTTTAACGGTTTAAAAAAAAAAATTTTTTTTTTTTTGTAAAGTCACGTGATAAATTCGAAATTTCTCCGGGTTACGGGTGAACGTTAACACGTGAAACGCGTTCATTTTTCTTTTTTTTTTACACAATTTATAACAACCGACAAACAAAAGAAACGCTTTAATAAGATGAACGAACAACATTTTGTTTGTTACCATCTCCGTAAAAAAAAAAAAAAAACAAATTACAATTATTATCATTATTATTATAACCATTAATGGAATTTTTTCGCAAAAAAAAAAAAGATTTTTTTTTCCCTGTCGTTTTTCTTAGTAAAAATTTTTTTTTTCTTTCTCAACTGGAAATTTCCAGATTTTTTCTCCGGATCGTCGTCGTCGTAATCACGTTTTTTTTTTTTTAAGTGTTAGATAACAACATTACGAAAAATTGAGTCCTTCTTTCTTTATAATAATAATAATAATAATTCTACCACGATTTAATTTAATAATTCATTTTGACATTTGCTTGCAATTAACGGTTGTTGTTGTTGTTGTTTAACAAACTTAAATTACAATTATTATTATTATTATTATTTAACCCTTGCGGTTTTTTCTTTTTTTTTTATTTTGGGGGCATAACTCTCTCTCTCACTTTTTTTTTTTATTGTTTTATCAAGATCCCCGATTATTTAACAAAAAAAAAAAAAAAAAAATTTATTTAATTTAATTTTTCAAATCATTTTTCTTTTTATTGTTATATAAAAAAAAAAACAAAATGGCTGCCTAAACGAGAAGAAAAACTTTCAGTTTTATTATTATTATTATTATTATTTTACTCACGACGATTTTTTATAAAAAAAAAAAAAATTTTTTATTTCATATATGTGAGAAATTATCGGACGTCGTTATACGATTATAATTTCATTTTCGTATAAAATATAATTTTTTCTGCTTCCACGTTTATTTTAAAACACGATTCCGTGCGAAATTAATAATTACGACCCCATTGCTAACAATTTATTTTTTTTTTTTACATTTAACTCGAAACGAAATGAAAAAAAAAAAAAAAACAAAAAGAAATTTGTATCGGGGAATTAGAATCAGACGTAACAACGTACCGACGGGAAAGAAACTTTTCAATTTTTTTTTTTTTTTTCGTTATTAATTAACACCTTTTAATTTAAAAATTTTTAGTAATTATGACGTAATTTTTTTTGTTTTAGGTCCTAGGGCTTTGGCTTTTGGCCTGCACTTTCGCCGATCCAATAAGAGTGAAAAAAAGGTTCGTATACATTTTTTTTATTTTATCATCGTACGATTTCCGTCGTAATTTTTTCTATTACCCCGACTTTACTTTCACGAACAATGATAATAATTTTACCTTTTCCCTCCCTTTCCCTCCCCCCTCGCGATTAATTTTTTCCCCTCTCGGTAACATCATCTTTTTTTTTTTTTTTTTCGAATTATTACCTTTTAATTTTTTAATGACGTCATAAATTTCTCAACGGGTTTTTTTTTACGCACGATTACAAGTGAGTGCGTGAGTGCGTAAGTATATATCAAAAGGTCAATTTCAACTTTTTTTTTTTATAAAAATTTTAGGGTCAATAAAAAATAAATTTCTCTTTATTTTACGAGCCATTTTTTTTTTTGTTTTGAAAAAAAAAAAAAAATTAATGACTAGTTCCTCCATTTTTTTTTTTTTTTTTTCATTCGTAAAAATTCGTGATTTCGTAATGACGTCACATAAAATTATAAACTTTTCCTTTTTTTTATTATTATTTTAACCGAAGATGTTGTTTTATTATATTCGTCCAAGTCTGATTTTTGTTATGTAACGTTCTAGTTAAAAAATTTACGTCAGTCATTTTTTTTTTTTTTTTTTAATTTTTTTTTTCACTTACGCATACGCGCACGCACGCACGCACGCAGGATTTAAACGTAACGAAGAAGGTAAAACCCGGAGTGAAATTTAAAATTTTTTTTTAATTTTTTGCTTCGACCAATTAAAATTTTACATGTAATTTTTTACACTCGGTTAATATACTTTAATTTAGGCAAAAAAAAAAAAAAATAATTACGGAAGAATATTTTTATATATACATTTTTAAATTATTCATTATTATTATTATTATTATTATTTTGGGAATTAAAGAGTAATTAGTTAGTCGGTCGGTTGTACCGTCCGTCCTTCGCTTACATCTCAAATTTTTTTTCTAGAAAAATGTGCAAAAAAAAAAAAAACAATTATTTTCGCTTCTTTTTTTTGACGACCGAATCGGTTACGACTATTCAAAACCGTTTGTGACCCTCAAGCTAACGAACGTTGATTTTTCAAGTAAATAATAATGATAATGATAATAATAATGCATTAATCAAGAGTAGTTAAAAAAAAAAAAAATACTCTGCATCCTCGGGCAAGGCCGATTTCTATAATGCAACAACAACAAAAAAAATTTTTTTTTTTTTTTTTTCATTCAAATCATTCATCTGTAGTAACCTTAACGCTTGAAAATAACCTTGACAAGCCTGTATCATTATTATTATTATTATTACAGACGATAATTTCAAGTTCGCGGCTTTTCTAAATATTCATTCGCGCGGATTTTATCATTATTATTATCATTATTGGGTTTTTCAGCACGTTTTTTTTTTTTTTTTTTGACCGCGTTAAAAACAATGAATCTTTTTTAATTGTGAAAAAAAGAATTGCTACTACGAAAAATGAAAGTTTTGACGCGATTAGAAATTTTTTTTTTTTTTTATGCTACTGGAAGCTCGTAAATATATCCTGGAGACTCTATACACACTGGAGAATTTAAAAAAAAATTTTTTTTTTACTTTTCCCGAATAATAATAATAATAATTTACATCATCATCATCGTACGCGTAAAAAAAAAAAAAATAAAATAAAATTTTCCCCGTTGGTTTTTTTTTGAAATTTTATTATCATTATCATTATTATTATTAATTTTTATAATAATAATAATGATAAAAAAAATAAAATAAAATAAAACCGGAAACTTATTTCCATTTGTTAATTACCTCCTAAAATTTGCAACGCCATTTTTTTTTTTTTTTTTTTTTTCTTTCAAAAAAAGTGACTTAATGTTTTTGATGTATTAAACGAGTTTTATTATCATTATTATTATTGTTATTATTATTATTTCCGCATATGTTTAAGTTTCACTCGAAACAAAATAGATTTTTTTTTTTTTAATTATTATTATTATTATCATCGCATAGAAATTAACCGTTGTTGATGAATATTTAGTAAAACGGGTGGTCGAAAAATGCCCACTAACGATTTGTCATTCTCACTGCTAAATAGTTTTTTTTTTTTTTTTTTAAATTTATTTAAATGAGAATTTTGTGACCGATTTGTGCGTGTGTGTGCGTGTGCGTGTGCGTGTGAGTAGTTCGTTAATTATTTTCTAATGAGGAAAAATTTAATAGCAAAAAAAACTGCAGGTAGCAAATTTAACCGGTACTCGAAAGCGTGACTCGTGCATTAATATCGTCAGTAGCAATCGTAAAAGCATATTTTATGAAATTTTAAATCTTTTGTGAAAAATATATGAGATGATGAAATAATAAAAATAAAGTTATTTATGGTGACCTTTTGACTCGTCGCTGTTAATTTTTTCTTACTGGAAAAATAAATTTTTTTTAATCGTTCAATAAGTTTTTATCACGTCTAATTAAAATTTAAATATTGCGCGTATGACAAATTTGTAATCGTTTTGTTTTTTGTTTCGTTTTACAGTCCTGATCCTCATTACGGTCCTCCAGCATCGTTTCATCACGATCATCATCATCACGAACCCGAAGGAGTTTGGAAGAAAAAATTAGTTTGGAAAGAAGAATGGAAACAAGTGTGGAAAACGGTTAAAAAACAAATTTGGAAACCCGTACAGAAAAAAGTACAAGTTCCCGTGTGGAAAGAAATTCAAGTACCCGTTTGGAAAGAAATTCAAGTTCCAGACTGGAAAACTGTACAGAAACCGATATGGGTAGAAACAAAAGTGCCAGCCTGGAAAGAAATACAAGTGCCCGATTGGAAAAAGATCAACATTCCCGTTTGGAAAGAAATTCAAGTGCCCGCTTGGAAAGAAATTCAAGTTCCCGATTGGGTAGAGCACCAAGTTCCAGATTGGGTCGAAGTTAAGGTACCCGTTTGGAAAGAGATTCAAGTTCCGGATTGGGTAGAACATCAAGTGCCAGATTGGGTTGAAGTTAAAGTGCCCGCTTGGAAAGAAATCCAAGTGCCGGCATGGAAAGAAATACAAGTTCCAGATTGGAAAGAAATACAAGTCGTCGATTACAAAAAGATATGGGTTCCCGTATGGGTTAAGGAACACGTTCCGGGTCACAAAACGATCGAAAAGGGACACGATTACGAAGTCACGGCGCACGATCTCTGGAAGAAAAAATTAATATGGAAACCGGAATGGAAAAAATACTGGAGAACGGAAAAGAAACAGATATGGAGAACGGAAAAGAAACAAGTCTGGAGAACGGAAAAAGTACAAATATGGAGAACTGAGAAAAAACAAATCTGGAGAACTGAAAAGAAACAAATCTGGAGACCCGATAAAAAATTAATCTGGAAAGTCGAAAAGAAACAAGTCTGGAGAACTGAGAAAAAACAAATTTGGAGAACTGAGAAAAAACAAATTTGGGTTCCGAGTAAGAAATTGATATGGAAAACCGAATACAAACAAATCTGGAGAACGGAAAAGAAACAAATATGGGTCCCGAGCAAAAAACTAGTCTGGAAAGAAGAAAAAGTTCAAATATGGAGAACCGAAAAGAAACAAGAATGGGTTCCGGATAAGAAATTAGTTTGGAAAGACGAATGGAAAACCGTATGGGTCCCCGCGTGGAAAGAAATTCAAGTTCCAGACTGGAAAAAGGTATGGAAACCCGTTTGGGAAAAGGTTTGGGTGCCCATTCACCACGGATGGGATTAGTTTTTTTACATTTTTTTTTTTTTTAAATAATTATTATTATTCAATTGTGAATTTATTCTACTACGCTCAATGATAACCAATCTCGATTTTTCAGATTGGAATTTTGACTTTTTTTGTTTTTGTTTAAATTCCGATAATGTTGAAAATTAACGGTTAAAATAATTTTTTTTATAAAAAAAAAAAAAAAAAAAGCTGTCGCGTTATCGATAACAAATCGTCAACACAGCATTTTCCCCCTCCCCCCTTTTTTTTTTCAACGTTTCGGTTATAAAATACACTCGGTACAAAAAAATTAATTAATTAGTTAGGTTTTATTAAATACTATATATAATTCGCTAAGCATCTGATACCGTAGTTATCATTATCATTATCGTAATAGTGATAAAAGTAAAAGTAGTAAAGATTCCCGCGTAATTTTTTTAATTTCTCCATTGCATAGGCGCGATTAATAATAATTATTACTATTAATACTCTCCATTTCAAATTCTTTTTTTTTTTTTTTTTATTACTCGCGTCGTAAATAATAATAAATAAATAAAATTTTTTTTGTCCATCGATACAAACTCACGAATGAATTATTATTATTATTATTATCATCATCATCATCATTTTTAATAATTACAAACAATAAAATCGGAGAAATTTTTTTTTTTTTTTCTAAAGGCACGACGCCCCTTTGTGTATAACAAAAGACACATTTAACGCGTTAAAAATTTCACTTCCGGGCAAAAAATCAAAACTTTTAATAATAATAATAAAAACTGACCGGTTTTGTATTTTGTTGTCGTGCCTCCATAATAATAATAATAAAAACGAAAATTTTAAAAGGTCAAGTCGTGAGATAAAGAGAGAAAATTTCGAGAAAGAAAAAATGGCGTAAATTGAATTTTTTTTTAATATTATTAATTTTCACATCGTACTACCTGTTTGTTGTTTGCGTCCGTCTGTTGTTTGTTTGTTTCGGGCTATTTTTTTTTTAATATTAAATTCGAATAATCTTACTAATAAACGTACGTACGGTATCAGATGCTACTAGCACATCATTAGCAGACGAAAAAAAAAAAAAAATCTGTTTCTATTCAGAATGTCTTTTATCTATAATTTCTTACATTTCTCTATAGCGTTCTATACGATGATAATAATAATAATAATAGAAAAAGAAAACTGAGTGTAGCAGATTTTTTTTATTCTTCTTACACTTGTTTTTATCAATTTATTTACGTCTGATTAGAGAATGTTTTCTTTTTTTTTTTTTGTTTATGTCAATCATGAATGAATGTTTTTTTATGTTATAATGTTTTTTTTTTTTTAATTGTACATATATAAATATATATAATATAATATAATAAATAAATAAATAAAATTTTTATACGTTAATATTATTATTAAACCTTTTACGAACGCGTCAAGTAAATAACGAACGTGTCAATAGAAAATAAATCGATTATAGTATTTATATGTGATGATAACGACGTCAGTTCGTCACGCGTTTTAATGTAATAATTATATAATATATATATATATATATATGGAAAGTTTAATTTATAAATTATAACATTTGTTATCATCGTCGTCATATTTTTTTTTCTTTTATCACTCGCGAGAATTTTTATTTTTAATAACTTTCAAATGATTACGAGGGAAAAAAATAAATAAATAAATAAATAAAAATTTTTTTCGCTTTCTTTCTTCGTTAATAAGACATTAATTAAAAATCCGTGAAAATTTAATTTTCCTATCACGATTGATTATTTACTCGAATCGAACGGGTCGTGTGCCAAAAAAAAAAAAAGCAAAACAATCGATGATGACAAATGGTATTCGAAAAAAAAAAAAAAAATTGATAATAATAATAATAATAAAACGAGTGAAAAAAAAAAAATTTTTTTTTCTTAAATGTTTCGACATGTTTCGATTATTGGATATTAACGCGATCTTATTTCAATATATATGTAAGATTTCACGTCACTAATTAAAAAAGCGAAAGTTTTTTTTTTTTTAGGTACGAAAGAAAAGAAAAGAAAAGGAAAAAAAATTCTTTCTTCTGAAAATTAAGGACGAAAGAGTGCGTGCGTGAGTGCGTGCGCGTCTAAAAAGAATACTCAATAATAAATAACAATTATGATAATAATGATAATCGTATTGATGAGAAATAAATTTGGGCAAAAACAAAAAAATGTACGCTTTCGAATGTTCGAATAATAATAATAATAATAAAAAGGATTATTTTCTCAAGGTCGCAAAAATGAAATTTCGTACCGGAAATATTACAAACCGGAAGTGATCGACGAGTTCGATTTGAATCTCGAACCCATGTGCACGATTCGTACGATCGAAAACTCTCGGTTAAAAAAAAAAAATAATTTATGATTAAATCAAATTTTTTTTTTTTAATCCCCCTCCCCCCCCAAAAAAAAAAAAAAACAAAGAATTGTGTCGTCTTAAGCCCACAGGACTCACGCGTAAAAGTAAAAAACAATAATAATAATAATAGCCAAGAAAGCCATTGCTCTCATTGTTTCGTTTAGATTTTAAGGTGAAAAATTATTAATATATAATTTCTCGTAAAATGATTGATGGTAAAATTATACGTCGAAATTAATAATAATAATTATTTAATAATACGTATCATTATCATTATTATTATTATTATTAAAATGATTAATTAAAAAAAATAAATTTTTTTTTAAAACCGAAATTACGCCTTACAATGCAATTACATAGTTTGTTGTTGTTGTTTTTTTTTTTGTTTGTTATTTTTCATCCGAGTGAAATTTTGATTTATTTAAAACGACGGACGAACGAAAGGACGTGGCAGAAGAAAGAAAAAAAATTTAAATCGCTCGTACGTTCGAACTTTAAAAAAATTTTTTAGAAAGTAATAACAAAAATCATTTGTAATTACGTCACACATCGAAATTGTAAAATTACAATGTGACGTATTTTTTAAATCACGAAATCACAAAGATCCTCCCCCTCCCCAGGATTTTTCCGAAAAATTTTTTATCTACACCGAAACGAAAAACAAATGATAGTAGTAATAATAATAATAATTATATTCGAATTTATCGACCGCGTTACGACGGGTAATGAAATCCGGTCGCGAAACGCCGCGAACCATATAAATAAAAAATTAACAATTGTAATGAGATGAATTTTTTTTTTTTTTTCGTTCGTTATTATTATTATCATCACATCCTTTAAAAATGTCGAAAATGAATTTAAAATAAAAAATAAAAACCACGTCGAATCATATTTTATTTGATTTGTCACTTTTCTGTATCGTCAAAAAAAAATCTCCCTTCCGGTTATTACCCACGTGACTGATCAAAACAAAACAAAAAACACTTTCATTTATTTCTTTCTTTTTCTAGAACAACGTCAAGGTCTAGAGAAAGAAAGAAAAAAAAAAGGTTGGTAACCGTTTAAATTAATTAAAAAAATACCATAATCGTGATAAGTATTATTATCAAAACGATTGATAACAATTTTGTTATTACTACTACTCCCGGTGAAATCGAGAATATTCTATCGAAATATCGTGGGGGTATTTTTAAAATTTAAAAATTGCGTAATCTCCGGTACCTTGTAAACTATTTTTTTATAAAAAAAAATTTCGTATTTACCGCCTTTGTAAACCTCTCACGTGACAAATTAGTCAATGACAAACCTGAAATTTAAAAAAAAAAAAAAAAAAAAAAATTAATCATCGGTCTTTCCCATCTTTTTTTTTTTTTTATTATTTTTCTTTGTTGAAAAAGTTTAGTATTATTATTATTATTCTTTGCCTTATACTAGAGTAAACTCGTTTTTAATTGAATAATTTGACACTTTAAACAAATATTTCAAACGTTCCGAGGTTAAACTTGCATGAATGAATACATTTTTCTAGAAATTTCTGTGGAAATCACCACACGTATTTACACGCACTCGGAAAAAAAATAATAATTTTGACAAATTTGTTATTGATGAGTTGAAATTAAAGAAGGGAGGGAGGTGAGAGGGTTAATCAGAGACGTAGAAATTACTAGAATTAAATTAAACGTGAAAATATTTTTTGATACGTAAAATTTTATGTTATGTAATAAAGGGAAAGGTTTTAAACTACCCGAATAATCGACCTTGATTACGTTTTAGTCATTTGTCTCATTAATTCCAGGTTAAAAGTAACGTAATATTCACGACGTTAGTTTTTATTTCGTTGTTGTTTGTTCGTTTGTTATTATTTCGTAAACTTCGTCGGAATTTGATGTTTTTTAAAAATAAAAAAAACTTAACAAACGTTGCGTAAATAATAATTCAAAAGAAAAAAAAAAATTATAATAATAATTATTTTTTAAAGTTGATTCATTCAAAACGAATTTTTTTTTTTTGAAAACTGGAAATTCTATGGAACAAAGAAAATTTTGATTCGTTATTTAATAGTATACCTGGAAAATTTTTTACGTTTCGCGAAACAAATAAGAAAAAAAAAGAAAATTTACATTTTTCCTGTTTTAATTCAAACATTTTAAACACTTAAAATATATATGCTCTCTCGTAAAACTTTTTTCCTCCTACAGTAAACCGCGTGGTGATAATTTTATAATAATAAATAAAACTCTCGTAATAATAATAATAATAATAATAATAATAATAATAATTTTAAATTTAAAAAAAATATATATATATATATCACCTGGAAAATTTTTTTTTTTTTATATATTTTCTTTTCTCCACTTTAATTTTTAGATCACTTAAACTAAACACATGGCTGCGATGCTAGCGTCGCCTTTCGTTAAAATCATTAACTTATTAGTTTTATTTTTAATCGCCTGATAGCGCTGTAATATTTAAAATAACGAATTTTTTTTTTTTTAACGAATAAAATTTTTCAAATCGTCACGCATTAATAAAATAAAAATAAAAATAATCGCGTTAAATTAATTTTATTAATAATAATTAATAAAATGTAAAATATATTTATTACCACTTATTTTATTAATTACAATTTTTACCAA